TCACCTTTTTTTATTATCCCCTTTAAGGGCCTTTTGGCATGTTTGAGAATTTTTTATATTTATACTCTGCATTAGTTTGAAAACGTGTAAAAAAATCACTTTTTCTGCTGTTTTGGAAAATCAACGACTACTTTGTAAATATTGCGAAAAATACCAATGTTTGTGGAACCGTTTTCCCTTCCTGAATCGTCAAAGTTTTGTAAAGAATTAAAGGAGCAGGATTATTGCTCGTTAAACAACAATTACTGACGAAAAAGGAACAATTTTTTTTAAGTTATATTTCTTCCAATTTCGCGTAAAAATCATATCAAATCAAATATCAGATCAAATATCAACCGGATAGACCAAATATCGAAAAAAGAATCAAAATTAAATTTTTCAAATTTTTATTTTTAAATTTCAAATTTTTTTTTTTCTCAAAATGTTCAAAGTAAAATTGTAAAAAAACGCAAAACAAATGTAAAAATTTTGAAAAATGTGATTTTTTTTTAAATTAAATATTTTTCCCAAAATTTTTAATTTTTTTTCAATATCTTATGAGTATCTAATGCGAAATTGTGATAAATATAACGCAAACAAACTTGTTTCATCTTAATCATTAATTGATGTTGAGGAGCATTAAACCTGCTCCTTTACTTTTTTATAAAACTTTCAGGAAAGGAAAAGGGTTCGATCGATCGATTTCAAAATTTATAAGCTTCATGGGCATGTATTGAGCTAAAAAAAACTACAAACATTCGTACTTTCGCAATATTTGCAAAGTAGTCGTTGATTTTTCAAAAGAGCAGTAAAAGTCATTTTTTGCAATTTTTCAAATAGCGAGTAAAAAAAAATCTCAAACATACCAAAAGACCCTTGAAGAGAATTGATTCAGGTTTCTTAAACCCACCTTTCGTTCGCTGTACGATCATTAGTTCTTGAAATATCGATGATCAAAAAAAAAGATGACTTTTCACTCAATAGTCGATATTTCAATGAATAGTCGTACGGAAAATAAAAAAAAAATTGAAGCTGATGAATCAGGCTAATTGACATTGATTAAGCCAGAAAAAATTTTCTGAGCCCATGTCGTTTTAAAAAAAATTGTTAAATTTTTGCCTTGCATTATTTCTTTTAATTGCGCCGAGAGTAATGCTCAAAAAAATTTTTCATCTCAAGATTTCGAAACTAGAGCTTCATTCAAGCTTCAAGATGCTTCTTTTTTTTCGCGATACTACATTATTCACGAAGTTACATTTCAAAAATCACTAAAAAAATTAAAAATTTTTTGCTACTTAATTTTTTTTTATGAGTGCATTATACTGGCTTCGAAATGTAACAACTTGTAACACTGTTTTTAATAATTACCACATTTACAGAGTTGTTACAACCTAAACAACTTTATCATTGACTGACTTGAATTATGTCCCCTGAAAAATTTACATATTTCTGTTAAGGCTGTTTTACATTGACAATTTATTGATCATTTAATTCATGAAGTCGCTTCATCAAGAAACTGGACAAGTGTAATGCACCAAATCTGCTGTCAAATAACTTCATGAATTTATTCATCAAGTTCTTGAGGAATTTGAGCATGTTCTAATTTTCGTCAATTTCTTCGTGAAGTTCGGAAGTACCAACCCAACAGATTTCCAGCCTCAGATCAGTAATGAGGTTATGTTATGTACTAGTTTTGCGTTGTTTTTACTGATTTGTTACTTACAAAAACTAATATTTATTTAATACGTGTCAGAACGGTACCGCTGTCGTATCACTACAATTATGAGTGGAAAGGTGACTTTTTGAAATGTATTTGCTTCTTTGATTCATAGGTAGAACTGATTCATGCGTCCAAAAACTTGACAAAGTCTGTAGCAGTGTAAAACCACACTGTTTACCAATAAATTCGTGAATTAATTCATGAAGAACTTCGTCAATTTATTCATGAATAAATTGTCAATGTAAAACAGCTATTACTTGTCGATTTTGCCTCGTAGATTTGACAAACTGTAATACCCACCATTACGTCTTCACATCTTTCATATGTGGCATGAACAAAAAGTAAATATTTAAGTTATAACATTTCGGATTTTATACAGAGCAGAGTGCTAATCCCTCCAACTTGAACTTTCATTAGGCAGACGTTAAAGTCTGTGGAGAACACTTGATCTCGCCCTGGAAAGAGGATTCAAACTAGACAATTCCGTTCAATTTAAGGCGCAATTTATCCCGCTGAAAAGTACAAATGCACCCGGAAATTGATCTGGGCACTCGCGCTGCCAACAAATTGAACACACAAGAGCAAGAAGAAAATACGATTCCGAGACTTGGCAGATGTTCGCAGACGTCCTCCCGGGCTTAGCAGGGATCGCTTCGAAAAAAAACGAACACTGGGTACGTGGGGAGAAGCCCCATATTCGAACGAAATCTAAAATCTCCGCCGATCGGATTGAAATGTTCACCTCATGGAGTTTTTGTTACGGTGGATGTTTTTTCGCGGCCTGCGTAAGATCAAAGCACGGATTTTTTTTACAATATACTACGCCCGAGAGGATTCGCTGAGGGAGAACGATTATTATTAATGCACTGCTTTTATTTTCCAATTCGTACGAGATTGGTTTTGTGTGTGTTGGGCGCCAGTTATGCAAAACTGATTAGAAAGATAAATTCTTGAGGTGGTTAAAATGCAACGGAACTTAACAAATCCGGTCACGATCTGTCCGTATCTGAGGTATCTGGAGCGAGCCTAAGCCCATTGGAAAACATCGAGCCAAAAGGCTAACACCGTCCTTTCACTAACTCGACTCCGTAAATCCCGCGATCACGGGCCTCGCCGAAGCCCTGATCTATGGCGCGGCGGACGTTGTTTGATGGAGGAAATCAGTCATAGTAGGCCGCGGTCGGGGCCTGCACGATTGCACCGAAGTTTGGCGTGTCGCAATTTCGTGGTGATAAATGATGGTGGGCCGCGCTTAATCCAAATCGATCCCGGTGGAGTAATTCCATTTGGATAGTCCCTCTTACACCTACACAGGATTCACTTAAAAGGTGAATTTACGCAGAACAATTTGGACGATCATCGCGGATTGGCGCCAGCAGACCAACATTTGTTTGGACATTTAAAGAATATTCGCGGTGTAGATGTTTAAGTACGATAATGAGACAACTGAAGCAGTGTAAAATTTGGCAAATACTCTTCATAACCATCCATAAATGGTTGTAAATATACACAATTTAAATTAAAAAAAGTTCAACTCCAATTTATTAATTTATTATATACGGAGACTATTAATATTGACTGGTCACACTTACCAAATTTTAATACTAAGAATACTACGTTGAACAAATTTTATGATGTACAAAGTTTACTACTACGAAAATATACATGGTTTTTAATAAAGAATGTGTCATATGGTAATTTTTAAATGTTATATGTAGTATCTTTCATGTTGTCATATTTTTCTGTTTGGTTTCATCTTTACGTTTTCAGTGGTTATAAGAACCACATTACTAACTGTAAAATAATTTTAAATTCAGCGACATGTAACGAGGCTGCATTGCTTTAAAAAAGCAAATCGATTGCTGTTTTAAAATAACTAATCATTTTGCAAAAACATCCATCCTTAAAAAAATCTGAAGTAAACAATGTAGTGGCAAGAGCGCTTAGAAGCAGATATTCGTGTTTATAACACAAAAAAAACTACTTTTCCAAAATTTGAGTAAAATAACACAAATAATAAATAAATTATCGTAAAAACATGAAATAAAAAAACTTTCTCGGGCCTATAGCTTCTTACGGAAGCAAGATGGTACTAAGCTGATTTAAATTGCCTTATTTTTATCCAAGGAAGCTAACCTTAAAGTATGACCCTGTATATCTCAAAGGAATGCAATGGACATAATCCATATGTCTGCAAATAACAGTGACGATTACAGCCCTTTAAAATTAATAAGAACTGAAGTCTTGTACTAGTTTGGCTTTCAAAAACGATTTTTAATCCAACTGAAAATGACCCATTATGGTGTCATGTTATGTAATTCAAGAACTAATTCTTTCTCCTCCTTCTGATATTGTTACTGGTTGTGTCAATTATTTTTCTGAATTAGGTTTACTTTGTCACATTCAAAATTGCACTACACCTAATTTATTATCTGCTGTCTCTAATACCTTTTGTATTTTCGAAGTTACTAATGATGACAATTATGATATAAAGGGAATCTAATCTAATTTCAGGATTTTTAGTAAAATACTATAAAGAAACTAACCAGCCAAACCTTTAAAAATCAAATTCTATAATTAAATTCAAGGAATATCAATAAATATAATCGATATGCCATATTTGTAAAAAGGGAAAAAAAAACGACATAACTAACTACCGAACCATAGCCATTAGAAGTAACTTCTCTAAATTCTTGAAATAATTTTTCACATTGGGCTTTATTTTCATGTAAGATTGATATATCCCTACTAAGAAGGATTTGATTTATTTGTCGTTCAAAAACTTGTTATTGTTGAAAAAAATAATTTATTGCCCATGTTTTAGATGGAGGAAATCAGATTGACGTGTGATTGATTTTACAAAAGCACTCGATTTGTTATCTTTGTTATAAGTTTCATTTCAGCAATAGATACCATTTTGAATATTGTATGATTGGAAAATCATACAAATTCAAAAAATCTTCAGGTATTTCCCAACAGTCAATTTTTATAAGCACTCTTATAAAAAAGTTATCAAACAGCAACAACAAACGTTATTTAATTAACTTTCTCTGGCAATTTCAAATGCTTCATTCGTAACGCGTAAGTAATAAATTCTTTACGTAACTTTTCGGTGTCTTAGCAATGGCAATACGCATCCCGGTACAGGTTAGCGTCCCAAAACCCGCTACGCGGATAAATTTCGGCTAATGCCCGGTCACAGCAAACAATCCGAGATATGATCGATACGAAGTGGCACCGATACACGTACGTGAATTTGGCAGTTGAACGGAAGGGGGAAAAAAGCGACTGATAATCCTACCTTTCCGCAGTTTGATGTTGGGATCGGGCGGCTTGCAGTCCAGCGAGGCCATGGCGATTATTTTTCTCTTGTGGTTGCACAATTTTGTCAGGTCCCCCGTGTTTGTGTCCGGCGACAGCACCCATGGCTTGCTCACCACCTAGAACGGAGGAAAACAAATGACAAACTGTCAACATTCACTGAACACTCGAATATGTCTTGTTTTGTTTCTAGATTTATTCTGTGTCTAAAATAGATGAAGAGGTCTCAAAACCGAACCGTGTGGAACACCTTTTACATTAAATTTCTTATTCCTAGCTCATTTTCGCTTACATACGTTTTAAGGCCATCTGGTGTTAAAAAAAGAAATGCAATCAACGAAATATGAAAATTTTATACCTAATTACTTTGCGTTCACGACCACGATAATAAAAGTGGTGCCGTCGGGCTACATAAGAGAATTAAATTAACTAATGAATAATTTAAAGGTATAATATGGTAATTTATGTATTACGTTTAATTAATGCACTATTTGTATAAATTAATAAAACGTTACATTAACAGCGGTTCGAATAATGGATTATACGCGGGACCGGAATGGACGCATACATACACAAATTAGCCTTAATTGTGTTTCAATTAATTAATCAAATTAAAGAATCAGTTTGTTTATTCATACTTTGATAGGAAAACATGCGGGGCGCGCCACATTACCTTCAATACTTTTACAGTCGAACAAAACAATCATAAAGTTGAATACGTCGGTTGACATCAGAAGTGGGATATGTCACTATTTTGATGGGAACATATGAGGAAATATATTTATTGAGTGGAATCTGTACCATTTCAGATGTATAATCAGAAGCGGGATACAAGCAGGTGTGATAAATTCACCATTGCCTCTGGCTTATTACTGGCGAAAGGCGAACAAAGGGTGGATGTGTGGGTAAATGATCAAAAACCAATATAAAACGGATCTACCGACATTATGCATGCGCGGCGTTAAAGTCAGAGAAACACCAGACGTACACGGACTGATAAAATCATTCCGTTGTAATGAAAGAGCGAGGGTACATAAAATTTAAATATAAAACTATTTATCTCGAGCTCGACTGAATTTTCACTTCAACGCGCCCGACTTGTATTTTTATTCTTCATCCTCTCTCTCTTTCTCTCTGTCTGCTGTGCGATTTTAAAAAGCGGAAGAAAATATGGTGTCCACAATTTGCAGGAGAGAAACCCATTTATCCGGGCACTGTAAAATGAACATAATAAATTGGCCCGCTCGAATATGACTTTTGATAAATGAGGTTAGGCGGAATTGCTTCGCAAAAACTCCCGTCTTTAACGCTTTCCAGTATTTATAACAAGAGGAAGACGAATGAAATTACGGCACCCTCACATCCCGGCGCTGAGAAATCCTGCAATCGAGACAGGAACTCCGGTTATATCTAACCGTCTTCTGGAATAATATCACATTTCGATGGAGACTTTGCAGCTATTATGGCTAGAATTATTGCCAGTGGCGCTTCGTGGTGAACTATTGTCGTAGAATATAAAATATAGGGTGACCTACAAGCTCTATGACAAACTTTGACAGATACTAGCTGAGTTAATTGTAAACATTTTTTCTTACGTGAACATAAGTCCGATTTGTTTTTGGTCAGAAATTACAATCATTTTAAAAAATATAATTTCATATTTCAATCAAAATAGCCTGATAAATAAAAATGACGGTTACTATAACAATAATTATTATTTGTTTCATTTTGTAACTTCTAAACAATAACGAATCGGACTTATATTAGAAAAAATGTTTGAAATTAATACTCATCAAAATAAGAGAAAAGGGTCCTATTCAAATACCATGTAATTTTACATATGAGACATACGTAACAGTTGCAGCGAATTAAAAATTAACTTCTTCAAAAGACTATAGCCCTTTTCTAAAAAGCCTTTCCAGGGGTAGGGGTGTCTTCAAAGGAACTTTCTTTTTATTTTAACGAGTGTTAAGGAAGTATATCGGGGTCCGAGGGAAGTGAGGAGCGCAGGGGGGTCCTATGCTTTTCTTATGGGACTAAAGCCCGCTGCCAATTTGAAAAAATTAAATTCTATTGTTTATTTGCAATAAACATCTATATAGCAAAGAAATCTACTCATATGCATATATTGTCTAATTAACAACATAAAAATATCATATCTAAGTATATTTAAATTATATTTAATGAAGACTATGTAGATGTGGCAACAGCGCTAATAAGTGACTAGCAGTTGTACCCACTGCGAACTTACAGACCTCGGACATCGGAGATATTGCGCGTCAAATTCGGGTAAAGATGCGTACGCGTTCAAAAATGTATTGTGTGTAAGTTATGTACAATATAATTATTATATATAGCAAATATATCGTATTATCCTCGTGAAGATTTGTATCCTTTATTTAAAATCCGTAAATCATGTGAACTGGTAAAACAACGAGAATTGTGTTAATTTAGTTCTAAGAAAATGGAATGACACTCGCGTCCATCTCCGTCCAAGTCAAAGAAAATGTTGGATGCAATTTTGAAGGTTCTGTGATAGAAATTACATTATCAATCACTGTTCGTGTTTTTAATCTCTATTATAGTATTTAATTAAGTAAAGAAAACTTTATGTAACTCTAAATATTGCTGGGTAATGATTAAGATGTTTTTATAAACCATTAAATATATTGAAAGGATTTATCAACTGTATTTTTTATTCCAATAAATATATCACAGCTTCCTAGTCTTTTTTAATTAATCTAGTTTTTTAAAAACATTACGAAAAATCATCTGTTGTGGATAAATTATTGTTGATAACAATGTACATGGGATTTAGGAAAAATTTATATGTTTGAAATCAATTTCGTTTTTATCAAGTCTTTCAAATGTATTCCCTCCGTGCCGTCAGCTGATTGCGACGTTGCCACATTAATCCTCAAGTTAGACAGAAATGCAATTGTTGGTTTCTGTTTCTAATTAATACAGCTGTACTATGTTCAAAACTTACATTAGTTTTACATCAAATCAATAGAAAATCCCCAACCACAGTAGAATTCAAATTAGTGCCGCTATAGAAAGATGGTTGCAGATAATTTTTGCACTCACCACAAATCTACTTCTTTAGGACATGGCGATGTTTGTTTACATCTTACATCATTTATAATTTATGTTCTCTGTACTTCGTGAATTCGTTATAAATATATTTAATTACTGGTGCATTATCTATATCAATAAAGTAGTTTTCAATTTTATCTGATTGTGAAACAATCTAAAAATGCCGCACTCATAGACCCACAGAACACAAGAATTAATATCCTCCCTTTTAACACGGTTGATTTGCTCAATGTCCCTATCCCCTTGAATACTATTTATAAAAAAAAGTGTATAACCTCACTGATTCGTATTATAATGAGCCAATCTATCCACGATCAATTATTATTTGACGTCAAGTAAAGACAGACCTTCAACAGATAACCATCGCTGACAGAGCCCGTAATGGTCCACACGATTTATCTAAGAGACCTCGTGACGCGCGGCCAAAGGCCCAAAGCCCACAACAAAATGGATCATCTGTTCCGACATCGCGGCGGAACGGACGGCGAAAACTAACATCATTAGCCGGTGGCAACAGGGGTAGGTTTCACTGCCAACAATGAAGTGGTAAACGAGCCCCCCGTCGAGCGCCAACATATACAACTGGCGGGGATTCAATGGCCGCTCGACACACTGACTGACGGTTTCTGTTCCGGGCCCCGTCACGCGTCAGTCGCCTACCTGCCCGCTCTTTTGTTTTCGTGGTAGGTGTCGGACAGCGATACACGTCGATGGTCCTACGCGGGCCCCCATTGTTGAGCCAGCGGTGAAAAGGAACCAGCAAAGTTTGGAACTGTTTTGTTTGAGGGCTGTCAGTGAATGCGGGGGTTCACTAGTTCACCAATCGAACTTGAATATAATAAGTTATTTAAAAATAAAAATAAAAATATTGAACTTTGACAAGCTGTAACTTGCAAACAATTAACAATTCGAAAAAAAATTTCATTACATTCTGCTATTATTTTAATCCCTAGAATCACCTCCCGGAGGTGAGTAACGGACTTTCAGAACACCCTGTATAGTAACTTCCAAACCGTGGTAAAATTCTGCAAAATATTTCCTAATTCAAACCAAGGTTGGCAAATATCATGATATTTATATAAATATCAAATATCCGATATATATCTTGATATATATCCAATATACAGGGTGTTTCAGGATTAAGTCGACAAACTTTAAGGAGATATTCCTCATAAAAAAATAAGAAAAAAATCAAGTATCAATTTTTTTCCAGAGACGCTTCATTTTCGAAATATAGCGTTAGATTTTTTAAAAAATTCGAATTTTTTAAATAACTTCTAAATGAAGAAAGCTATTTAAGCCAAATTTGGCATGGCACATCTTCCTATAAGATACCATTTTTCCATAGAAGTGGAAGTCCTGCAAGCAACCAGTGGCGGAGTTATGGGGACTCAGACTCATTAAATTATAAAAAAATTAATACGGCCCTACTGAAAACAGAAAATGATGCTGTTTTTAGATAGAACAGTTTGTTATTGACAAAAAGTGTACATTCACTCTTTTTTCCTAACTCTTACAGTTTCATGGCAAAATTGATTTTTCGGAAGGGTGCTTCTGGATTCTGTCGATAAACTTTAATTAAACCAAGCAGAGAATGTTCATCAGTTTACGCAAAAAGTAATGTGGACAGATGAGGCAACATTTACTCGAAGGGAAATTTTAAACCAAAGGAACAACCATATTTGGTATTACGAGAATGCACGGGCGGTAAGGGAACATAGTTTTCAGCATGAATTCCAATGTAACGTATGGTTGGGTGTGTTGGACAACACTATAGTTGGTCCCTACTTCCTTCCACATCGGTTAAATGCTGACATGTTTACCGAGTTTCTTGAAAATGGTTTTCAGGATCTGTTAGAAAATGTTCCCCTTAATACTCGAATGAACAGTTGGTTTCAACTAGATGGTTGTCCTGCTCATTTTGGTAGAGGTCCTAGGGAGTGGTTAAACATTAATTATCCCAGGAGATGGATTGGTCGTGGAGGACCTTCAGCGTGGCCCTACTTGCGGGACTACTACTTCT